GAATTTAGCATGATGTGGCTCTTTGCAGTATCAATTTCCTTTCCCTTATCTTGCCTTCCATTCTTCACCCTTCCTTTCACACTGTTTTTGAATTTATTATAACAAAAATAAAATTGTAACAGTTCTCAATGACTCTAGAGCTTATTTAACATTGAAATTGCTGAAATCTACCTACTCTAGCCCTGGAAAGAGCAAAGAACTGAGGCTATAAGCAATTCTATGTTTCTTCCTCTCTCCAATGGACACGAATATGTAGCTGTCAGTATAACAGTTTTACTTATTTTTATTTTTACTTTATGCCTCCTTTTTTAAGCTCTTTTTTCATTGTGGTAAAATATATGTAACATAAAATTTATCATCTAAACTACCTTAAGTGTCAAATTCAGTGGCATTAAATATATTCACATTGTTGTGTAACCTTCACCACCATCCATCTCCAAAACTTATTCATCTTCCCAAACAGAAAATGTGTCTCCATTGAGCAATAACATCTATTTCCCTTCCCCAGCCCCTGGTAACCACCATTATACTCTCTGTCTCTATTTCAGTAATCTAGGTACCTCATATATGGCTATTATCCAATATTTGTTCTTCTGTGATTGGCTTGTTACACTTAGCATAATGTCCTCAGGGTTTATTCTTGATACAGTTTAGCAGTTTTAAAAGTCTACCTATAGGGAAATAAACACCATGCAATACATCAGTCATGGAAAGTCTTCTCATTAGAAAATATTTTATTCCATTTATTTTAACCAACATTTTACTGGTAAATAACAGGCTTTTAAAATGTACTGTCCATAATCTAAACTATCTACAAAATATTATTTAATAAAAACAAAAAAAAAGATAAAAAGAGCATATAATTGCTCAAGGTAGCTCAATATATTGATAACAAATTCAGGACAAAAGCCTATGTCTTCTGAACATACATTCAACCCTCTTTTTATCAAATTAAATTAAATAGCACTTTGTGAATCTGACCAAACATGTTCTCAGAACAAATATTTTCACTTTCATTCAGTTTCATTCAGTTTTAGATGATGCTTTTTGTGTCATAAAAGGTGGCTTGTTCTGTCATTTTAAAAGATCTCTTGTATGTTTTTCATTTACTCATTCCTCTTTGTACATTTTATTAAATTCTCGCACCCGAACTCTTCATCCATACACACATATTCAGTGTTGAAGATACTGAAATAGATGAGGACTCTGTCTTCAAAGACCTTAATTTCTAAGAAAAGTTTGCAGTATTAATTTGATTTTGCTGCCTGTGTTAGGAATAAACAAGTTTTATATTGCCGTATCCTTTGCGATGCTTAAAACAAATGGAATTTTTATTTTCAACACAACTTTCAACAAAATTGTGTGTCCCCATTCTCAACCTTGAAACACCTTTCTTTCAGTGAGTCCCCAGAGAATTCTGAAACAGAGTAAAGCAAAATAGTGTAGAAAGAAAAAGATTAGGGAGACTCTCAGAGGGAAACAAAAAAGAAACCAGCTGGATTCTACATGGCCAATATACGCACAGGCTGTGATACCCATTTATTATATGGTGGATGATCTGTTCGATAGAGCATTCCTTATGGTCATTGCTACAACCAAATGTCTACCTCACCTAATAAGTAGTATTTTCTTTCCTTTATTTACAGAAAAAAAAATATTTTTTTTTCAAACTTTATGAAGAATCAACAAGTGTCTAGGTTCTTATAATGGCAATATTAGCATCATAATTTACATTCTCTTATAACTCTTCTTGAAACAGATGTGCATGTGTTATGCACCAAAAAAGAAAAGACAGCACACCCAACTAGACAGACAATGTGTTAAAAATACTGGCTAATAAAGTGTTGAGATTATTTTGTGTTCTAACATTGCAATTTCATGAAAACAAGGTTGAAATTAAAAATGGCAATTTAGAAAAAGAGCAAAGCAGTGAAATTGTATTTTTTTCCCTGGGTATTACAAACATGGGTAAATGATTTAAGGTTTTTGTTTTTAAAAATCTGCAACCATTTATTGATCATAAAAGTTTGAAAAAATGTTTCATTTTAAACTATATTTTGCCTTCCATAAAACGTAATTTGTATTTTGTCTAGACTTAACTGCTAACTCCTAAAATAACTTAGTTTGCAATGAATCATATGTAAATTGGAAAATTATATATTTCATATTAAAAAAACACATACAATGTTATCTTAAAGCAGATGCCAGTGTTTTAAAGTTGGAAAATTCTGCCTTAATAATTAACAACACTGCAATAAGTTCTCCAAAGGATCTGTTGATTAACTTTTTTTATTTTCTTTTAAGTCTTTAGAAAATGGAAGCCCCTCTGACATAACAAGTCAGAGACATGACATATTATCTTTGTCCACAGATATTACCCAATTGAATTTCTGCATAATGGACCAAAATCATTTATGTAGTTCTTTATTTTGACCTGTAAGGAAATGTGCACAATATAAATAAGAGTGGCTTCAAACAAAAAAATAATAACAGTTTCTGTTGTTTGATAAATTTAACAATAGTTTTATATTGCTTACTATATTTCATAAAGTATTTTCAAATACATTATGCCTTTTAGTATTTGAAAAATACTTTGAGAGAGACAAGGCAGTATTTTACTATTATTAAAGATGAGGAAACTGAGTCTTAAAATTTTAGTATCTTGCTTGTGTTCAGAGTGAAGTTGGGACTCTAACTGTAGTATTTTTACTCAACCTAGAGGATGAAGTTAATCCTTATGTCTTGTTCTCTGTGAATCGTGTTCTGCTTTCTAATATTTGCAATAAATCCCAAAGCTTCAAAATATAGTGTCGCTATTTGAACTCAAGGCTTTTAAAAGTCTTTCCACTTTAAACTTTACCTGAACATACTTTTCCTGAAAGGATATAGTTCAGCAAGCATTGGCTATGTGTTCAATGCACCAGAAACTGTGCTAGGCATGATTCATGCTTTCTCTCAAATGATAAATGAGTTATACAAATGTCACCTGGAAAACTGGAAAAAAACTACTAATTCCAGACTTCATTTTAAATTAGGCAATTAGAATTCTAGATTAGAGTGTGTGATATGTGTGGGAACAATTCCTAATAATCTGATAAAGAGCTAAGTTTGCAACAATTAAAATTAAAAATTAAATTAAAAAAAAAAAAAAAACTAAGATTGCAAACACTATGGGAGGACGAAGCAGATCTAAATTTGGATCATAGAATCACCAGTGTGATTTAGGAGTGAATGAAGGGGTTTATGATTAAGTAGCTTTTATAGCGCAATCTCTTTGATATGATATAGGAATAATAATACATGTAATAAGCAATGCAACAAATAATTTCCTCCCCCAAAAGATTAGATAAATGTTGGTTGTGTATAGTAAATAAGATAACGGAATTCAGTGCTTAGACCACAGAAGGTATTTATATGAGTTTACTAGGACTAACACAACAAAATATCACAGACTGGGTATCTTAAACAACAGGAATTTATTTTCCCACAGTTTTGGAGGCTAGAAGTCCAAGATCATGGTAACAGTAGGTTTGGTTTCTTCTGAGGCCTCTCTCCTTACTTTGCAGATGGTTACTCTCCTGCTGCCTCTTTACAGGATCTTTTCTCTGTTCATGCTTGCCTTTGGGTTCTCTCTGTGTGTCCTAATTTCTTCTTCTTATAAAGACACAAGTCACATAGATTAAGTTCCACCCTAATGGCTTCATTTCAATTTAATCACCTCTGTAAGAGCCCTGTCTCCAAATACAGTCACATTCTAAGGTACTGAGTATTAGAAATTCAACACATAACAGAAATCAATAAATTTACTTGTCTGATGTTTTGCCCTATTCCCTACTTCCTCTATGACCTAACTCACTGGTCCCACACAACTTAGGTATCTGCTTCATTCCATTTGCTACCCAGAAGTTATATATATATATGCAAATCTGATAACCCAAAGCTTTTAAATGAAGATTAGTTTGTGTATTGGTGCTTCAAGATTACACATTTGCTTAAACATGGAGGCAAGGGAGTTTGGTGTCTTTACAGGAGAATGAGTAGGGTGAAGATTTCTGGAATAAAGCACGACCAAAAAGGAGATCTTTTCAGAGAGTTAGTTGTGTTGATGCTCTTCAGATTTATTACATGGACCACTGGGTATTTGGACTCTACCAACGTTTGGACCTCAATAATCTGTGATTTTATGAGAGTCTGCTTTTTTACCTCCTCTATATTTTGGAAAATAAAAAATTAAATACTATTGCAATCTGATATTTTACAATTATATCACTTTTTCCTTCTGGAGTGATTGTTCAAGCTTTATAATTTGTGTGTCCTTCTTTAATTCTAACTTTCATATATTTCAAACATGTATGCCTCTCCTTTCTTTCTGTCAAGTTTAGTGATGAAAAATAATTTTTTTACTGTCTTCTTAAATTCTCTACAGTGAGAATCCCACCACACGCATGCGTGCACACGCGCGCGCACAGAGACACACACACACACACACACACACACACCAATTTAGAAAATATTAATGTTTTTCCTTTTGAGTCTGACATTCTTTAGGGTAGTACATTTTCTATCAAATTATTATTAAGATTCCATAACTGATTCTGCTGTCTGTCAGAACCATTAGCCCTGTAAGACATTTCTAAAACTGTCTGGGAGAAATCCAATAAATAGGAACGTGTATGTCAACCTGACGATCATCCTTTAAAAATGCCTATGGAAAGTGTGTGTATTTTTTTCCTCTTTCGAAAAATGAGTTAAATTAATCTCTCATATACAGTTTTAAATCTTGTTTAATATTTTCATTTAATTCAGATAACTTTTCATTTAAAATTTTACAAAGGAAAATGGCATTTAAAGTTTCAGGTTTATCGTCAAGAATTAATAGAACTATGAATAGCCATCATTGCTCTTTCCGATAATTTATGTTAACTAATAAGGGTGAAAGCTAAAATTTCTAACAGATTGTCAATTGCTCTTGTTTTGGTCCAATGTTTTGGGATTTACAGGGATGAAGAACCAGGAAGCCAGCTGGTTACAGATAAGTTCCATATTGACTGGGATTCAGTACTTGTTGATACAGATAATGTCATCATAGCACGATTTGATGGTAGAGGAAGTGGATTCCAGGGCCTGAAAATTTTGCAAGAGATTCATCGAAGGTTAGGTTCAGTGGAAGTAAAGGACCAAATAGCAGCTGTGAAGTAAGTGGCTGCACATTTTCCTATTGTTTTTAGTATAATGACAGAAGCTAGATATATGCTATATAATATCATTAATGCTGCCTTGGAGATTTTTATTTTAGTAATTGGACAATTTTCTAAGTTACAATTTTCTAAGTTACGTATAGAAAATAGCAATTTTCTCAAGTACCTTTCACTTTTAGCATCCTAATAAGAGAATTATCATACCTTCTCTGTCAAGTTAGAATTAACTTTGGATTTTTTAAAATTAAAGAGACCTTAATTATATCACTATATTATTTATTTGAAATAATCCACAATGTCTATTATTTACCTAGTTTATTAGCAAACCTTGAGCTTTCACAGATACCATTACCAACCACACAGGCATGAAAGAGCAATCTAAGAAATCTAGTAGATTCTTCAAAAAAGTGCATCGAAATTGGTGAAGATATTGTTAAAATATAAATGTTGATTCAGTAGGCCTGAAGTGGAGCCCCACAGGCTACATTTGTTAGCAAGCTACCAGATGATACCAAAACTACTAGACCATCCCTTTAACTAGAAAGATTTTGGAATACATGACCATTCTACATGAATAAAGCCTCAAACACTAAAGCATTTTTTGTTCGACTGTGTGTGTGTGTGTGTGTGTGTGTGTGTGTGTTTGCGATTGCGCACACGCGCATGCAAAGAATGAACTCCCCTGTGCATTTGACTCAAGATATAACCATATGTTTTTCTTTTTTACTGCAGATTTTTACTGAAACAGCCATACATTGACTCCAAAAGATTAAGCATCTTTGGAAAGGTAAATAGAAATATTGTGTGTGTGTGTGTAAACATATATATGTGTTTATATGTATAAATATATAATTACTTTCTTAAATTTACTAAATTTTCTCTATCTTTTAAAATGTAATACATTTACTATCGTATGCATTCAGTCATTTATTAATTTAGTAGCAATTTATTGAGTATCTAATTGGTGTCTGGTATTAGAGTAACAGGACAATAAATTGTTCTGTTTTCATGAAGCTTACCTTCTAGAGGGGAAACAGTAAGCAAATACATGAAAAATAATTTTATATGGTAATGGGTATGTGTTTTCTTATACAAAAAAATCAATGGATAAAAGTTAACTGCAGGAAGATCTAATGTTATTATACTGAGTGGTCAAGTAAGGCCCTTCTGATTAAGTGATATTTAAGTTCATACATAAATAATCAAAGGGAGCCAGTCATAGATGACTTA